CGTTTTGCCGGTACAAATCTTACAAAGAAATTCTCTCGTTGTTACGAAGTTAGGCTGACGTCCTGTGTCCTTCAATCTTCGCGAAGGTCAAATGCGTACTGCGGCGACTTTTGACAGGTATCGACGGCAACGTCGCTTGATCGCACTTTTTTTCAGTAAACCTCTTTTATTTTACCAACCAGTTATCGTGGTTGGCCGCGACCGGGCCCGTAGCGGATGCAAAACACGACCAGCGAAGAAGATTGAAAAGAAAAAAGCATAGGCGTAGGCTGAACGTAAATAGTCAGGGTTTGGTTTTGCATAAAGTATCCGTACGTTCTGTCCGTTGATAAACAATGTATCTTCGTGCTATTCCGAATATTGGGATCGATATTCTAAAGTGTGTATTGAGTCAAAAAGTATCCTGAAGAAACTAAATTGGCATTTTCGGGGGGCGCTAACGGTCTCAGTCTTTTAAAAGGTAACGTGTGTCCTGGGCCTCAAGGTCATACTCAACTTTGCTGGAAGGGCGAGGCTTGAGGTTTAGATACATATGTATAAGTTATTTATATCTATAATTTTATTAATTCGCGCATTTCAACGGTTTATAACACAGTTTTATAATTTTTCACGGTACAAAATAAACGAAACAACTACAATGATATTCAGTAATTGCGCGTAAATGGGAGGATGTTTCTTTATAACAGGATAAATTCGACTTGTCGAAGTACGCCTATGTGACGCGGCGACTCATTGCCGGAGGCGATGGTGCAAAGAAGAAGAAACGAGAACGGGTTTCTGGAGAGTGGAAAGAGAATCGAGAACCGGTCTCGATCCGCTGCTGGCCAAAGCCAACCGAGATAGATGTTGACGCTGTTCTGTTCGTATCTCTCCTCTCGCTCCTCGTCTCGTTCACCTCTTCAGATCCTCACGCCTGTACATGTTTTATGTCATCGCTGCCGGTCGAGATTTCATATCTCGATAAAGGCAGACATACACGTCGACAGTACGGACCCAAAATAATAATTTTCACTATCCGAAATATTTTTTTTAATTCTTTTATTCTAAGTAAATAATTATTTCTTTCAATTATACTGCATTTTCTTGAACCATTTTGATTAGAAGTAATATACTATTAAATTAATTGGCTTGAAAATAGCAAATCTTGTATTTGTTTTAATAAACTGTTTAATCAGTTTAGGTAATCTAGTTTATTTAGAGTAGGTACATTTAAAACAATTAAACTTTCGGGAGTATGCTGGTGATGCGGTTCGAACTCCTCGATAGCATTTGTGTAGTGCGTATTGGGCGTTAGGCGCTTAGTGACCATAAACATGTTTAGAATATTTAATTTAAATAAAATAGTTTATTAAAAACTAAGCAAATACTTTTAGCTAAACTGATTATGCCATATATATTGAATATAATTAAATTGTTTTGCTTAAAGCAAGTAAACTCATTTTAATAGTTCACTAATTTTAAGTAAATTGGTATACTTAATCTAAGTAAACGGGTTAATAAATTTAATCAAACGATTGCGTTTTGGCTCAATTGAACCAGTTTCATAGATTCAAGTAAACTGTTCGAAATGGAGCTTGTTAGCTGTCACATGATTAATTAAACTTTTTAATTGCCCCAAACAAATTTCTAATTGGTTCTATTAAATGTTTTTCTCAGTGTGCTATCAAGCTGTATACCAGTTTGCAGTTCCTCCATAGCTTGGTATTCTAAACTGAATCCAAATTCAAGATGAGATGTAAATAATAACAGTTAGCATTAAATTTCAAGCGGTCGCCTGGCGGAATAATGCGCGGGGCAGGGGCAGGGCAGGCAGAGTTGCATTCAGGCCACCGACCGTCGCGTGTTTCAATGCGTGCTCGTGTTTTCGTATTCACCTTGCTTGGTTGTTGCTGTTGTTGTTGTTAAGTGTATTTGAGTAATTTGTTAAGTTTCTGTTTGTTATTGTTATTCCTCGTTATTATTAGTTTTGAACCAATCCTGAACTGCTGACGAGGCTGTAGGCTACTCTCTTAGCCCTCCTAGAAAGCGATAAAAAAAAGACATCTTAGCGTAGACATGAAAGACGTCATATTGAAAACATTCAAGATAGATCGGAAGGAAGACGAAACATCAACTAACCCGAAAATAGCTCTGAAAGTGGCAGATAAAATTGGGGTATGCCAAGCGACAGTGTTGCTATGTTACCAAATTTCAAACGTTCGACAATTCATAAACTTTTGAAGCATCTTAATTTCGAATGGAAGAAACGAGGTCGTAACAGCTTACATACGGATAGAGAAGAAATTGTTCTGTGGAGGAGAGAGTACCTGACCAAAATTAAATCATTCAGGGATCAGCACAGGAAGATCTATTACCTGGACGAAACCTGGATTAACGCTGGGCACGCTACTCCGAAGGTATGGCTTGACAAAACTGTGACTTCATCCAGAATGGCATTTGTAGATGGACTGTCGACCGGATTGAAAAATCCAGCAGGTAAATAGATCGAAGTAGATCACTGTATCAATTTTTGCGCACAATATCTCTCTATCTTCGCACCTACAAGACGTGCATGTGTACTCAGCGGATTTTATCTTTCTAGGCAAAGGAAAAAGGCTCATTATATTATTTTATAGATACCAAAGGGCACTTTTACGAAACAGACAGTTTTCAATTTGAATATATTTTAATATTTCGTAAATGAGATGTCCTTTCGATGGTATATGAAATGTACATCAGCAGATGTTTTCAAATCGATGCTTAACATTTTTTCTTTTTTCATGTCAGCATGCCAGTTTTTTGTATGTCCCCGAGGAGATTTTCCTACTATAAATCTAGACAACAAATATTTTTGGGCGAATAATGAAAATAAGTTATTGTCATTCAAGGAAAACATCAGTAGACATTTAAAAAACCACGATAAAATTTAAAAAAAATGTCTTCCGCTATGTATTGTCATTGTTTGGTAAATAAAATAACTCCGGAATTTTAAGTATGTAAGACAAATAAATTTTGATTGTTTAGTTTTAATTTCTGTGTAATGTATGGCCAGCCGATTTTTTGGTCCTTTCGTGGCGGCGTGCCTGGCGTGAGGCGACTCTCCAGTCCAGCCGAGCAAAGCATCGTAAAAGCCGGTTCGGTTCGAGCGGTGTCGCCAAACCTACCGATTTTTCAGCAGCTCTACCGAAATGACAGCTTATTTACCGAAATACCGAAAACGTCCCCTCTTTTCACGATTTTTTAAAATATTTCTATCTTTACCGAGAAAGAGCTGGACATATACATACAAATACGATGGTCGTACATTTGGGTTGCCTACAGTTATATACACAAATCCCTTATTCCGATTTCCCTATATTGGTTTTTGTGTATAACAGATACATAGTTCACCGTTATTGGCGTGTCACCAGACAGCGATAATAAGGCTCGTCTGTGTTTAATTGAATATTAGATTAGAATGTCAGGAGATGAGGCTTCAAGTTTAGGGGCAAAACAGAAAAATATTCAAAAGGGTTTTTAATGATGATTTTTTTCATAGAGGGCGCTGTGCAACGCAAATTCCCTTGATCCATCGCTGATCTTGTGGAGGTGTTGATTTTTTCTGTTCTCTGTTTGTCCTTGAATCTACCGAATTTCATCTTTTTCGGTTCGGCAACACCGGGCTCAAGTTCCCAAGGCGTCCAAACGAAACGAAAACGACTTTGTGTCCTGTAGGCGTCTCAGTAATTTTCCTTTTGCTTCACGGCTACAACTCAAAACGCGTTTCGTAAACGAATCCCATTATATTAATTGTAAATTTATATTTATGACCGAAACTGCCTTTGACCGAAATTATTGCCTTGCCTAGCAACTGCTGCGGTTCTAGTCTGAACCGTTTTTGTTGGAAGCGAAAAGTTAACGTATATGATCACCTCCAAAAGCAATACTTGCGTAATTTTGAACGCAAAATTCGCAATTGCGCTTTTATCTACACTATCCGACCGCTGGCAAGTCCACTCCATTTCTTTAGGAGTGATGTAATTTTGAGCATACTTTTACATGATAAATAGAGAGCGATAAAAACTTTACCTCGAAATGATATCTAAATACGCATATACCAGAGTCTTTTGGGACAACTTTTATAATGACAAAATAAAGGTTACGGTACGAGTCTACCGCTGATCCAGGTGTAACCCCAAATATGACACGAGTTTAATCAATAATTTCATTCAAACTTTTCAATCCTGGAGCAAAAGCAAGCAACCAAGAGTAGTCTAAGTTTTTGAAAATACAATCTCGCTATCAGCATTCAGATCAGCAGCTAGGCGGCACTTGGTTAAAATGTGTCGCGCATTTTGATCACCTCGCTATCCTTTATAGAATGCAGATGTACCTGGCTAGAGACACCATTATCATATTAATATAAATTTTGCTTTGGGGGGGGGGGATCAGAGATTATGACAAACGAGCACGAGGAAACTCGATTTACATTCATACAAAGAGAACAATATGCATCTCGCTGACGATGATTACAAACACGCCGCATATAAGCTGTCATTAAGCTGTGAAACTTCGAGCGCCGCGCCGTATTTCTAATCTAGACAATAAAAACAATAGCTGGCGAGGGGTAATTATTAAAATTAAAGGTTTTTAAAACGGGTGCCGCTCACAATGTAAAATAGGTTGGCACAGGAAAAGTGTAATTCACTTGATGATTTACATCTAGTCACAACGCGCTAGTGTCAAACTGAATATTTTTCATAGAGGGGACTGTCACTTACTCTTTGTTGCTTGGGGCACTCGGCACAGCACATCCGAGGCAGATACTTTTTCAATGTAATGCAGTTAGTCGTGTAAGAACCTTAGAAGGTATTCGGATAGAAGAACTTGATTTCTCCAAGTTAGCAGGAAAAACCGCATGAAACTGTGAAGCATTAAATGAAATGATTAGATTACGAAATTATTCGTAAGACATTTCAAAATGAGGTATTGTCTTTTGATTGCTTGCGGAGAAAATTAAAAGACATCTTTCATTTGTAGTACAAAAACATTTTATTCACATTTCTTTTATAAAAAGAAGGTTCTCTTTGAGAGTTCCTAACTAATGTTTATCACACACTTGATAGCAAATTAAAAAAAAAAACTGGAAGAACTAAAAACATACTCTTTAAAAATGTACAAAAATTTCCTTATGGCTACACAAAGAACTTAATCGTTGAGATCATAATGCTCTTTACATCGGTATTTGAGAATGGAACCACAGAACGTAATACTGAGTACGTCCCAAAAGAAATGAGACAGTGTATCTGAAACTCCATCATCGCGCATAATGATTGTTTTTTACATAAACACGTATCGGAATACGATATAAGGCAAACATTCCGATATCGATTTCTGAAAGCTCGAATTTTGTACGATTGTTGATATGATCACAAGACAGATTGCACCAAATCTAAAGTGAACTTTTTTGTTACACATAGAATATTCAAAAAGAGGGATGAAGAGCACTTAAATATTATAGAAAACATTTAATTAAATTTGTTATCTAACTAATATCACAACAAATGATTAAAAAAAGAACGTTTTTTTTCAATTTCTGTACACGTTTATCACATTTTGTGTCAATCAGCGACACCTGACAGCTAGATTTGATTTTTTCGTATACGCGTCATTCCCAATAGCCTCCATCAAAAATTTTGGAAAAAGACAAATTTTAAGTTTTTCAAACTTCCGTAAAACAAAAAGTCAACTGTACGTATACGGAAAAATTCTAGCTATTCTTTGTGCCACCGATTCTTATAGCCACATTTTTCTGTAGATATTGCGCAGGCTGTGCAGGTTAAACCTTGTAAATCGTTTGTTTTTGTGTCGGTTTTATATTCTCTTTTAGGAACAATATTTCATTTTTTGAGTACAAAAAAAGTTTAAATTATTGTAAATTTTGATATTCTCAAGATTAAACAGGCATAAAAAATTATTACTACAATGCCTGTACTATAAACGTAGCGTGAATGTTAGTTCTTAGAAAAAAAAAACTGTTTCAAGAAAACGTTTGCCCTAAAAGAGAAAAAAATCGGCTAATCATAAGAAAAATACGATACTGATACCGGCACAAAAAATAATTTTTACACATGTAAGGTAAATATAATATAGTACGAGCAACATTTTTCAACGAGACAAGTTTAACAGACACCAACGTACAAACTTAACCTTAGATATTTTTTCACACGTAACGCACGACGAAATAGGGCGGCGGTATAAAAAACGTCTTCTCATATACACGCACTTTCACATGTAGTAGATATATATATATAAATAGAAATCTTCGAAAAATACTCTTTTTGTAAAATATCTGATCAGTCAGCAAGGTTGCCACGCGAAGGTACATTTCGAAAGATTTCTTCAATCGTAACTTGATCTGTATAGCTTCTTTTTCGACAGTTCGTAATCAGGACTGATCATCACTGAACCTCTGGTGATTTTTCTGAAACAAAAGAAAAGCTATTGAGCAACATCCGACAAAAAAAAAATAGTACGGAATACTGACTATCCCTTGCCTCTAACTACCCATTGAATTTTTCCCAAATTTTCCAGAACTTTCCAGATAGTGGTCAAGCTGTCTTACGTTCCAGAAAGTAAACAACGCATTGGAGCTCCCTGTCAATATCTTTCGATTCCCTGATTTTCCAGAAAGTACGCACTGGAAAGCATTGATCGCAAGAAACCAACCATGAAAATTCCTTCAGCTTCTTCAAATTTGCTCAGATTTTCCAGAACGTTGTAAATCGATTCTTCCCCCTCCCTGTCCCTGACTATGCTTCCCTAATTTTCCAGCATCTGTTTCCAGATGTTCTATAGCTTGGAAGTTCCCATGTGTTCTAGAAAGTGCAGAACATATCTATTTCTGCTTCCGCGGCTATTTTCCGACTTTCCAGAATCTGTTCCCTAATTTGCCAAAACCTGTTAGTTCCTTCAGATTCCAGAGAGTGGACTCCTATGGAACCCAATATTGTTTACAGAACCTGTTCCCTGATTTTTCAGAACCTGAATGTTGACTCGTCTTCCAGAAAGCGAATCCCGGTGGAACTTATTTATTTCGACTTTCCTTCCTGTTCCCCGGAGTTTCCAGAATCTGTTCCCCGATTTGCCAAAACCTGTCAGTTCCTTCAGATTCCAGAAAGTGGACTCCTATGGAACCCAATATTGTTTACAGAACCTGTTCCCTGATTTTCCAGAACCTGAATGTTGACTCGTCTTCCAGATCCCGGTGGAACTTATTTATTTCGACTTTCCTTACTGTTCCCCGGAGTTTCCAGAATCTGTTCCCCGATTTGCCAAAACCTAGTTCCCTCATTTTCCAGAAAGTGGAGCTCTATGGTACCCAACTATGTCTTCCCTGATTCATCCCCAGACTTTCCAAAATCTGAATTCTGTAGAAGCCATCTCTTTTCTAATATTGTTTACAGAATCTGTTCCCTGATTTTCCAGTACCTGAATGTTCCTTGGCCTTCCATAAAATGGGCCCAGATGCAACTCATTTATTTGGGATTCCCCTCATTTTCCAGAAAGTGGACCCCTATGGAACCCAACTATGTCTTCTCTGACTCTTCCCCAGTCTTTCCAGAATCTGTTCCCTGTTCTTCTAGACCCTGAACGTTTCCTTATTTCACAGAAAATGGATCTGTTCGCTGGTTTTCCTTACTCACCCGTCTCCGGAAAGAGGACTCCTGCGGAACTCAACTATTTCGCTACCTTTAGTGTATTCTAGTCAATATTTCCCTGTGAAACCCATCAATTCCTAAGCCTATTCCGCTCAATACCGCCTAGAAGGAACAACGAAATAAGTACTACTTACTTGATGAACTGCGGAAGGAAGTTCCACCCAGCTGTGGCCTGCTTCAGCGTCAGGTACACCTCGAAAGTACTTGGAGTAGCAGGATCGCACTTGATGGTACTCAGCTTGGTCTTCATGTCGCCACTATCGAAGTCGATATACAGAGTGCACCCGCGCAGACCGCACGGCTCGGAATCAGCCAATCGGAACATGCGTTCCGCGATCTCTCTGGTGAGTCCGTTGGGTAGTAGTACCTCGCCGACGGACAGATGCGACCTCTTCGCTGTACGAAGCTCGGCTTCGAGCCGTTGCGAAAGCGCCTCCACCAGCGGGGACTCTTCGGACTCGGGGAACTCGGTGGTGAACTCCCATTCTGAGTCTGGAACAAGAGAGATTGAGATTAGGTTAGACGTACTCTGGGTGTACTCAACATATGAGGAGAAAGAGGTACCTTGGGGGAGGTTGCGTGTTGTGTACGACATTTCGAGATTTTTGACAAAATTCGGATGACAGATACGTTAGTTGTCTAATGTTGTGTCGGAAATGAATGGGTCAAGTAGATTAACTCATTACTGCTTTGTTAATACGCCTCCTCCATCTGACTAATGTTTCACAACAGTCGATGAGTCATTTTGAAACGCATATTTCAAATATAACCAACAAAAATCTGTCCCGATTTCCCTAGAGAATAAGATTAGGACTTAGTTGACCTATCTGTTACAACAACTGATGTTTCTGCCCGAATTCAACCACAATCTAAAGCCTCAAAAAACGCTATACACTTATAGACCAGAGTTATAAATCTCTCAAAACGAGAGAATTATTCGATAGTGTCGCAGATGTGCTTCCGTACGCGTCACATCGGCAACACCGCCTCGATTTCAATAGGCTTTCCGCGACCCCCGAGTGACCTCCAAAACAACGGCAGCAAAGCAGGAGCGCGCTTAGCAACAGCGATGGCTAGATCTAGCTAGGCGTGGTGGCAGGGCTCGGCGAGTTTCACTTTGAATTTGATCGGTTCGTTTTGAATATAAACAGCTTTCCAATAGACTTGAATCGCGCTTCGCTACTGTTCTCTCTTATTTGGTACCACACGGATACGTTAATCAGTCTACAGTATTGTTTAAGATTTCGGAACTAATGTTATAACCGCCTGAAACTTGAAAAGTACCGCTCGGATTTTGATGAAATTTTCACACAACGATGAAAAAGCTTTGTAGTTTTTGAAAATTGGTCCAGTGGCGGCGTATAAAAATGGCAAATATAAAAAAAATTAATAAAAATCGACCAAACTCTGAAAAAATAAGCCTCAAAAAGAACTATTGATATTTTTTAAGCCTCATGTTTAAAATGCATTGAACATCAATCCGCGGTTACTGAGAGACAGACCAGAATGAGCGATATGGATTTCAGTGATTACAAAACGTAAAAAAGACAAAAACCATTAACATGGCTATGAGCCAGTTTTATGTCCGTACATTCCATGTCCAATTTCTAAACGTTTGAACTGTACTGTACAACTGGCGAGCCCACTTCAGCAGAACAGTAGTACAGCTGTTACGAAATTCAGGTTTGTCGACCCGTAAATTTTCACAACCATTTGATTGCCAATTAGCAAGGTGCAGAACACTGCCAAAAATTGGTCAGGAATAGGTTTTTGTTACGTTTTTTATAACAATTACAGCTTTTCGATATCATTAAAAACCTTGATGAACAAGAAAAACATGTCAAGGTTCATCAAATGGTAGAATTAGATACTGTATATTAGTGAAATTTTATAGGAATTGATAATATATGGCAAACGCACAACTTTATAGTTCTTTATCATTTAAATTCAAATGTGGTTTGATAATAAATTTACAGCTAAATTCTCACCATGCAATAAGAATGTAAATTTTTAGGAGGGGACCTTGGATTATAAAAAGCTTCGTTGGTATTCAAAACCAGTTTCACGGTGCGAGGTGAGTTTCACAATAGAGACAAAGAATGGTCGATAGAAAAAATTATATAACCTTAGATTTATAGCCGCCGAAATCATTCGAATGAGGAAAAAGTCTAGAAGCCTTCTAGAAAGATTAAAAAAAATTGTGCAACGCTGAGTGAAGATATCTCTGTATGCACAGTACTGTATTCTTAAAGCTGTTATCAATAGCTGAAAAATAATACGGTGATAAGAGAAACTCGATAGTGAGAGTTTATCTGACTCCCATAATAGTTGTTTTATCTCTTTTCGTTTTTTTCTTGCTCAGCCAATGATACAATGCAAAGGAGCTTGCGTCAGCTGAAATCAGGAAGTAAAACGGCCAGAGCTCTAGATCGAGCCCGGTTGGCAACAAACGCACTGTTGCCAGCGTTCCTTGAACCGCCTACAATTACAGAAATTAGGTCAAATAGTACGATTCAATTTATAGATGCCATTTTTACAGTTTTTATGAATGTATTATTCTAAGGCTTAGGAATATACAACATTCGCATAAACTTTGAAGTCTGATTTAGTACTAGGTCCTAGATCAAAAATGTTTGAAGGTTAGATTCTTACGAATTGTGGACGATTTTCAATCTGTTAAAAATTAGAAGAATAATTAAAAACTGTATAGCTTGAATTTGAACTAATTATGAGTAAGGTTCAAATATTACTTTATGAGCACAATGTCCAAATTTGATTGCATCATTTTACCTTAGATTAAATTTTTAAACCTCATGTAGAATCTTGTGCCTTTGAATTATTTTCAAACTTCCAGTTCAACTAAAAGTTCAAACATTACGCAAAAGTGATCCATTGTTAATTTCGAAAAGCAAGTTGGAAAACATTAAATAACAAAGTTATTAAATACATACTCATCAAGATTATAATCAGCTGTTATTAGAGAAATAAAAATTTAACTATAATGCACTTTTTTAAGCTTTATGATATGTTCAGTTTTGGAAGGAAGATATCACTTGGTTATTTTTTGTAAAACTTTAAAATAGTCTTTTGTGTCTTAGTTTGGAGTTTCGATACGAAAACGTGGTTTTAAGGTAACCGACACTGTTATGTTGGATATTTGACCAAATATAACACTTGACAAACCTAGAACCAAGTTCAAGAAACGCATCTGCGGACAAATCTGAAATAAGAAGCTTTTGCAACTAACCTTCTATTTTGTTGGTGTTGTACTTGACATTAGTGATTGGTAGAACCTCCATGTCTGTCTGTCACTGTTTAACACTATAGTGAAATTGCCGGAAAGCTGTATTGTACTTTCTCTTTCCCGGCGAGTAGCGATCGCGCTTGATTGCCGGCGATGTGAATCTAACCTAACTTTCGACGTTTACCGTGGTACGGATGGAAAGGAAAATGTGCCGGCAACAGCTGACGCGGTGGTATTTATCAAGTTGGCCGAGCCGGTCCCCCACTAAGCCCATGCGTGCGGCGTTGCCAAGTCGCCGAACCGGTTCCAGCTTAGACAAAGGACTGATGTAGTTCGTAATGGACTTTAGAAAAGCTCGAATAATTGAGGAGAGTCTAAAAGCGGGCCAAATTAAAAATGATGAAATATAGGTTAAACTGCATACAACGTTTACTTTGTAATGTTAAGTGTCATTTACGTTGCACCTTTATAAATTGTAGGTATATAGTTGAAAAGTAGAGTATTTTCCATGGCCCTGATTTGAAAATTAGGTGCCAAAACCGGATCCCCATCAATTAAGACTTTGAACAAGCCTATAAAATAGCCTAGGTCTTATTTGGACCTTGTGCAGAGCGAGGAGGTTATGTGGAGTAGAGTACCTCTTAGTCCTAAACAAATAGACTGTCCTTTTTATATAGCTGTTTTCTTTTATAGGTTTTCCCAATATCCCTTTAGAACTTTGAAAGTGATTCCAAAAGGATGGTAGACAGCAAACTTAGGCAACGTGTTCATCGAATAACATTTCAACCAACCATGAATAAACCAATTTCATGAGAAATACGAACCTTTTCATTACTTACAAATATAATGGTAATGTTAGGTGCAACACTGCCCAAAAATTTGATATCTACTTTTACCAGGGGCGCAGTTTTTGCACCCAGTTTTAATTATGGTTTTTTAATAATAATTTTCAACTTCAGTTTATGGAAGGGTAAAATAAATTATTCCTAACAATACATAGTAAATGTCACTCGTTTTTGAAATAATATACTTTTAACAACATTTTATATTTTTTCAAATCAGTACCAAATCTAGATTTGATAGGTAAGTAACCGAGCTCCTACTATCACCTCAAACGAACCTTTATCATTCTTCCACTATTAGAAACTTTAATCGGACTTGAATATATAAATTTTCAGACTGGGGATATTCCTCGCATCCGGCAACGTCGCAGCGCCGGCCGATCGGCCGGTATCGGCTAACATCGGCAATTGTGTTGCCTATTGTTGGACCAGCGAAAGATTGCAAGCCGAAAGAATGCGGACAAAAAATTGCGAAGTTGTCAGATGTTCTACATAAAATGCGGTCCATACATATTAACATATTTAAGATATAGAATTGTTCCGCTGAATTTGGCAATGTAGCTGGAAAACCCAGGCCGCAGGTAAACATCCGGTCGCTGATTGGTCCAAAACTCTTATCTTATCTGAAACTAGAATAACGTGCCGATGGCACGGTCATTTATAAACCTACTCCCATAGGCGCAGGCAGTTGGCAAATACTTTGAAAATATAATTTACTGTTTAGTGGTGATAATGGAATTCAAGCATGGGAAAGTTATTCACAGCCAGGCAAGGGAAATAATAGCAAACGTGATACGTGCTTGCGATGCAGAAGCGGCTAACAATACTTTCGTTTATCCACTGGTAGCTAGAAATGCAAGGGCGGCATATTATACGGGTGTTAGTGAACGAACTATAAGTAAAATTAGAAAAGAAGATAAAGACAGGCAAAATGCAACCTCCACACAGCCTTTAGCTTCTCCCGGAAAAAAGAGATCACGCCCTTCTGTGATCCAAAAAATTGATGGAGTCGATTTTTCCATTATTCGGAGAATGATAGAAAAATTTTACTGTGATTTTAAAGTGGTACCTACTTGTAGTAAACTTCTAATCAAACTGAAGGAAGAAATGGAATTTCCATTTGGTAAAGAATCGTTGAGGCTGCTTTTAAAAGCAAAAGGATTTTACTGGCGTAAATGCCACAACAAAAGGAAATTACTAATGGAAAGACCCAGTATTTTACATTGGCGATACAAGTATCTTAGGTCTATTAAAAAGTTCCGGGAAGAAGGAAGGCATATTATTTATTTGGACGAAACTTGGGTTGATAATGACCTCACTTTCAAGAAATGCTGGCAAAGCGAAGAAATTATGGGTGTCCTGAGCAATATAAGTTCTACAGGTAATAAAGTTTCTTTCACCTCGATTTTGCTTATTATACATTTTTCTCAATTTTGGAATATTCTTAATAAGTGCTCATTTAATTTGTCTAATTGAATACATAATCCCTTGCAAGTATTTTTTTCTCAAAAATATGTTTTTTATACATAGTGATTCAAAAAGGTGTTGGCAAACTTAAAATAACACTAAAATGAGGCTATTTATTCATTTCCAGGACGACTTATAATTGTTCATGCGGGTTCGCAAGATGGTTTTGTTCCTGGAGCCTGTCTCATTTTCAAGGCTGGCTGTGCCACTGGTGATTATCACGGTCAAATGAACCAAGAAAATTTCACGAAGTGGCTTACTGAAAAACTATTTCCTAACATTCCTCCTAATAGTATTATAATAATGGATAATGCACCTTACCATTCAGCTTTGGAAGACAAGCCTCCAACTAGATCTTCTCTAAAAAGAGACATCATCACGTGGTTGAGCAAAAAAGGTATAGAGCATGATCCTAATGCTAAAAAAATGGAGCTTTATGAAATAGCTTGTCTACATAGGCCACCATCTGATGAGAAAAATTATAAGATAGATAATTTAATAAGAAGTTTCGGACACACCCCACTTCGAACGCCACCCTATATGTGTCAGTTTAATCCCATAGAGATGATTTGGGCACAAGTAAAATTTTTCATTAGAAGCCATAATACAAGCGGCGAATTTACTATAAAAAAACTAGATGAAATTTCTAATAAGGCCATCGCTTCAGTAAGTGCCAGTGACTGGCAAAAGGTTATTGGACATGTTATAAAAATTGAAGATGAATATTGGGAAAAAGACAGTCTCATTCAAGAAATACAGGAAGAAATAATAATCAACATAGGAGGTGAAAGTGATAGCAATGACAGTTCCTCAGACAGTGATCATGACTCTAATCAGGATTGAAACTATACTAGATTGGCTACCTTTTAGAATTTTTAGATATTCATTTATTATACTATTGGTTTGTGGCTTTTAGTATCTCAGTAGAAAGTCTAATTCTATGTGTTGTTTATGGGTTATTTCATCAAGAAATTACTTTTTGTTTTCCTATATTTTTCTATTCAGTCAGATATTTTTGACTTGTTGTATTCTATTTTAGAAGAATGCATAATTTGTTTTGCTGTTCAATCATAATGCGTACATAGGAATATTACTTGTTGCCTAAAAAATATATTTATTTTGTTCTCAATATTCAGTGTTTGTGTATATTTATTTCTTATAATGTATGTTTGGTATCACGTCATTATGAATCGCAAAAAAATATTAATACTACCAGTTGTAATAAAATATAAATTCAATTAATAATTCAAGTCTCTCCGATCTCCGCCTATGACTCCATATAAAATCGTCTAATGGTAAGGTTTTTTCATCGCATTTCCCCCTTTCGTCCCTAGCAATCTTTGGCTGGTCGATCAATACGTGATGGGATACTCATCAGCGTTCATAATTCGGAACAGGGGCGCACGTAATCATAATTATTTATAATAGGTTGATAACTCATATTTTCTAGAAACGAGGTAATTTAGTGGAAAATCTGCCAAGAACCGTTTGGACGTGTGTGTGCACGTCGAGATTCGACAGGTTGGAACATGCGGATACGGTCATCCCGAAGATTACGAGACTCAACTATCAAAACCCCCCCGGTACAAGATATCCTAAACGATTTTACAAAGTTTCGCGTGCTGGTATTTAAACGACTTTACGATATAATAAAGTTTTCGAGAGGTCTTTCGAGCTTAAATAACCGTTTGTCATGTCGACGATGTCTGTTTTGTAGTGTACAAATTCAACGTATTAAAATACTGTACTTAAATAAAGACGTCGATAAAATATACGGGCACTTAATCGTACACTTCCTGGCTAAGCGTTTATATTTAGTTGCAAAAAGCTAATTTCGCCGGCGATTTTTTACAAAGTTGTCTCGTAAAGAACTGTGTCAAGGATCCGCACAAATATTTCGTTTGATAAAATGTACGTACTCGTTTCCTTAGTTTCAAAGTTATTATAAGATACGCTCTTAATACTCGAACTTCTGTAGTTAATACGAAATGGGTGGGTACATTTAAGGATCATAAAACATGTGTGTAGATACCGATAAACAATTAAACAAAGTGCAACGATTGCTGTAAATGTCATTGTGAAACTTTACAGACAGACAAATACGTCATCATTTATCGCGCGTGATAACTTCCAAGACCCTCTTGATTACTTTCACGAGGGATTTTCAGCTGTTTATGAGGTCGCTTACTTGATTGCAAGCATTGAAAACAGTCGATTCACAATGATTTGCTTATCGTTCTGCCACTGACCATTGCGCTAAGTATAGTACGGCACTTGATCTCTATTCGTAAAAAGACAAAGTTTCTAAAGATATTTATGGTTATTGATGTAGATTAGTATTTATACTGTTGTTGAGCATGTTTTAAAACAATATTTATAGCTAGTATTGAGATTGTATATACAATTAATAATTATCTTGTTGATATGATTGGAAAGAGGTTTTGTACGGTACGATCGTCAAATAATAAACTGTTGCCGCTTGATCTGCAAACGTCCATCCTATGGCGGAAGTTTTGCAGATGGATTGGATTTCGTCTTCGGCGTATTTGTTTACGGCTAAGAAGTACGTTTGACCTCACTTTGTAAAAGGCCTAGATAAGACCTAGCCTCGAGTACTGCTCACATGTTTGGTGTGAAGCTGCCCCGACTACTTTACCCAGTGACGATCCTGGTCAGAGGAATGCTATCTGACTAATCGATGAATCTTCTTTAACGGACTGTCTCGGCAGCTCAAAAATCGGATTCACAATGTGTCCTCGCGTCGGATTTAGGTATAAAAGTGTAAGTATACAAAACTATCTGTGGCCTGATTTTGGTAGAAAAAGTTAAGCATGTGCTCTTTGTAGTCCTAAATCATTTTGATAACGATACGTAAAATTGCAAAATATTGCTAATCATGTGTAGTATTAAATCATATTTCCAATTATTCGGCGAAATAAAATATCATGCTG